CAACCAGACACAGGAACAAGGACACGCCACCGCAAAACACGTTACCAATGCACATGTGCAGCAGCAACAGGCACCACCGCAACATGCAACATGTAAATAGCAACTCGCGTCTGCCAAGGCAGAGAACGGAGCAGGCAGACCCCAGACAGGGCCAACGGAGGCACGACTGAACCCAGCAGCCCCAGGAACCTGCACACCCGGCGACCGACAGTGGAGAACCCCGCTCAATACCTGCTGGATGGGGTACTGGGAGCTCGTTTACACCCCAATCCCGGCCTGAGGCTAGGCTAGACCGGCCAGAGGGTGGCCCACCAGGCAGCTGCTTGGAGCGGCTCGCAGGCCCACATACCCCCCACAACCAGGATGGGCCGGAACTTCTATCTGAAAACAGGCTAGTGTGCCCTGAAGTCCATGGACGTACTGGCAATATGGCGTATGCTCACAAGTAGGTCGTGTAACAACCGCAGACCTCTGATGGTTATACAGTGTTCCCCGATTGTGCCTATAGCACCACTGCACTCCACTGGTACTATCCCGCAAGTTCTTCCAGATAGGTGGGACCCAAAAGCCAGAGCTCATACCCTGCAAGCACAACCAGGAGAGCCCTACCAGGCGAGTACATAACCAGCACCACAACCCACACACCTCATAACACGAAAAAAGGTGGGTCCCCTGAATAACTCTAGCATGGGTTGGACATGCACATGAGTGGGACTGGAAGGGTTGAAAAAAGGGACAGTCACTGGTGTGCGAACGGTCTCAGTCGTACAGAAATATACCTAAATAAAGACAGGTATATAAACATCACCGCATCCAGTGCCCGGCCAAAAGACGCCAGACCGCAGGAACTCGCCTGTCGAACGGAGGCACGAATGTGACACGACCCAACAGTGCCCAGATGATCCTGGGAGCACCGCCAGGTGAAGAAGCCAGAGCCGGACACGCAGGAGAGCAGGGTAGAGGCGAAGGAGGCGGCCCACACCCAAGACACAAGGAAAACCTCGGCGTCCTCCCCACAGCTGGAAGCTGGAAACCAGGACACCCCCAGAGCGAAGGGGCACATACTGCAGCAAGGGAGAAGAGTGAGAGGCGAAGCACCCGAGAAAAAAGGACGCAAAACACCAGCACCGAAACACACCGCCCAGACCAAAAACTCCACGGCGCATGACACGCTGGCCGAACCGCACAACCCGCACTGCGGAAAGGCGCCAACCAGGACTACTGCACTAGAAAAGTAGCCAAAAGAGGAAGCAGGAACAACAAAACTGGCCAACGAAGAGACGACAGAGCCCAGAAGGGTACCCAACAGGGCCACAAGTAGCCCAACCGGGCCACTGGCCATAAGCAGCCCAACCTGGCTACACGGCGACCCGGACGAAGAGCCGACAGACGTTGCAATAATGCGGGAGGTAGTGAAAACCTTCCTGAACCCTGGAGAACACAGAAGCCAACACTAGTCTCGAAGGCACACAAAGGCGCAGGTGCACCCGAGACCAGAAGTCGTGTAGAACCCCAAGAGCAGGGAAACATGACGAAGACACCGTCCCAAAAAGGGGGAGGGGGGGGGAGAGCATCCACCCAGAGGACGGAACCAACCTACTCAAAGGCCAAGGAACCGAGCTCGGGGAGCGGCCGACACCCAACAACATGTGCAGCGAGTGGGGAGGAATGACCCCACTCCGCGTAACCACAAGCCCCGCCTAGAGGGGGAGAAAAACCTCCCATGGGGTCCTACGGGGCCAAGGCCCCCCCAAGTCAGCCCCTCCCCAGCCCCGGGAACCTACACGGCAGGCCCTGGGGCCAAGCCGTCCCCCCAAAGCCCCGACCGTACCAGAAAACCGAGGCAGCCACGAAATCATTAAGGAAGGGAGCCCACTGGCAGACTCTTACAACACAGCTGGAGGGACAGGCTCAAATGCCCCCGTCACTACCCCGGAAGGGGAATCCCCGAGACTGCCCGAGTCTCAACACCATCAAACCCCGCCCTGATCCAACAGACAGTAAGGAACCGGATGCAGGCAGGAAGGGGGGGGGGGGACCAGGGGAAAGACAAGGGGGCGTGGAAGGAACCGAAGCAACCAACGCCCCCAAGTCCCAACACGAACCAAAACGGGGCAGCCCCGAGGCTCCCGGGGAGCAAACAACGAGAGCGTTGCCACCACCAAGGCTCAAACTGCAAAGCCCCTGCTCCCCTCACCCACTTAGTCAGCACAACTGGGTAACCGAGCTACAACGAGCAACAAAACTCGCAGGACTCCGGGTCGAAGGTGTCACCGACCCCACAGGCAGCAGACTGAGGCAAAACACACGAGTCCCCCAGAGACAAGGGGTGAGAGCAACCCTCAAACTCGCTGGAAGCGAGGGGGAACTCTGGGGTCACATTCATCGGACCCGCGCGCCCCCAGGGGTTTCCCAGGGTCCTGAGCGTTTACTATAAGAGGACTCGCGCTCGGGTAATCCCAGGCAGGGTACTGATAACTGGCACCCTAAGCTACCAAGCAACTTTCTAAGAGCTGAACCCCCAGGACGTGTACGTTCGGACCTAGCAGGGGGTACCACCAGAAAATACTCAGAACACAAGGGACACAAGGGGCAAGAACGATGGCAGACCCCCCACCAGGTAGATAAACAAAAAGAAAAAGAAAACCCTGCAAGAGGACAGCATACCCAAGCGGAACAGAGCCGGCCACCATGATTGGTAAAGACAAGTTGCACAGTACCCTGCGCCCCACCAGTGCAAAACTGCCCCTTACCCTAAGGTGAGCAAGGGAGACAGAACACCCAAGCACAAAAAGAGCGGCCGAAAACCAAGCAGTAAACGGCCTAGCAGGGGCAGGACCCAAGGAACTTGTGGACGATGGCCCCAAGGGCAGTACTTACAGGGCACCTAGGGAAGGGAACCCTAGGCGCATGCAGCCCGAGTACTGGAGACTCACTCCCGGCTCACGCACCACCTAGAAGACAGACACCACACTCTAGGTACACTGCTGAAACAACTACTGGAGCCGGAGCACATAACCAGTGCCTATAGCATCAGCCAAAGAACTGATGGGTGGATAGCCGGCATGGGAGGTCTGGGGCTCCCCCTTCCCCCTCCCGGGGAGGGGGGAGCTGCGCAGACAGCGGCGCAGTGACGTGTGACGTCATACTAGTTTGCGTGTTTTCTGTTGGGGAGTTCTATCCACTAGTTCGGCTTTAGGTAGCAATTTTAACCAGAATAGGTGTTTGTTTTGGAATGCTTACCTTTCTGGACGCTTGACCCGGTCGATGGCAGACATAGAATGCTTCCAACCACACGGGGGTTTCTATAGGCCATTGCTCCCCTTGCCTCTCTGAGGGGGCCAGGTTCTGGCCGTGGTCCCCAGTAGGCCCTAGAACTCCATACACATGACTGATGCCAAAGTCTGCCATTAGCATATCAGCCTGGTAAAGCTCCGGGGGAGCCGACGGGGCTCCTCCCAGAAAAGAAGAAATAATCATAGACATTGAAATAATTAGGTAATTATATCTTTGTGGCAACTTCCGCCTAACAGCTGTGGTGGAGCAGAAGTGGAGCCCCCAACGCTTGCTAAGTCAGCGCCTCTTTTTTGCCATACTTCCCCGCCCTATTGTGGCTAAAATATGCAACTTACATTTTTTAATATTTTTCCCGTGATCAGGGAACACAAATTAACAGGTTTATTTGAAAAATTTAGGGGATTTTTTTTTTATGTGCCTGTGGGTGACAAAGGCCAAATAGCCCGGAGCAGCTTAAGCATTAATGATAAAAATCTAATCTAAGTCACTCTAACACCATAAATGGTTGTATTTAATATTTCACATATAACGAGTCGGTACACAGGATATTGGCAGCGCCAGGCTGTCGGCCCTTGGCATTTCAAAAGTCACACCTTTTGAATTTGAATTGTCCACAGGTTGAGTAGAGGTCACGTCAGATCAGGTGACCTCACCCTCTGCTAAGCTAATAATTGCAAACAGGAGGCTGTATTCATAACATCAAACAAGCTGCTGTCTAGATGTGGTAAGAAGATAGACAGAAGCTATCTCCTGGTAGGAGGAGTTTAGCTCCCAGTTTCCCCTTAAGTACCCAAGGAATTGTACATTTACAAGAATGTACAGTACATGTACAAGAATATAAGAACTCTTAAGTCTGTGATATAGTGAAAGCTAGAGTGGAGAGCACTCTTAAGTTTACCCACTAAAGCTTATGAAAAGGGGCCCGGTGTATGTGCAGAGTTTTCCAAATATGAAAAATAGTGGAAAATTTAACAAAATCTCCCATTATGTGGCATCAGCGTCGTGAAAATTTCATCCCAATATGTTAACACTTTCGCTAATTGGTGACAACAGTGTCGTCACCAATATTTCTACTTATTACGCTTACTTACTACTACTTACTTACTACTTATTCGTATCCTGGCTGGGGAGGATTTACCGAGCGCAAATCCTTAACTGTAGCCTCTGTTTAACTCAACAGTAAAATGGGTACTTGGTTGTAAAAAAGATTCTTCGTGGGGGTCGTATTCCAGGGACAATAGGATTAAGAACTTGCCCGAAACGCTATGCATACTAGTGGCTGCACAAGAATGTAAGAACTCTTGTATATATCTCAAAAAATGATTTAAGGGATAAAGATGTATACTTTATATAAGTAATAAGGCCCTAATCTGGTCCCTAATCGTCAAAACAACCTAAATAGACAAAGAAGAGAGATTTTGAAATCTGTGAAAAAATAAGCCAAAAAAAAGTCAGTCAAGTTCTGCCAGTTGTGACTGATTTATTTGTTGACAATTTCATTCTATCTTCAAATAGTTAGGGATGGGTATGCATTTTCCAGGATGTAGAGGTTACAACAAAATCAGATAATAAACAAAGGAGACAAAAAAAAAAAATCCCCCCTGAAACAAATATTTTTTGGACATTGGTGAAAGTAACAGATATTAAGATTGAGCAATGTATTTTTGACACTGACATCTCGGCTTACAAATGCCCCTACTTACGAACTTTTCGGGTTACGAGCCCAACTTCTTCGTAAAATCCGAATCGGGTTACGAGCTTTGTCTCAGGAAACAAAGTTTGTTGATACTCGTATGGCTGACCTAGCGCGTGGTGGCACGGCAATCGCACCTCAGTTTACCAGTGCCTCCCACCTAGTGACAATTGTGCCCGAATTCTCTGTAAAGAATTAGTTTTTTCAGATTTTTGGGGTAAATATTTGAACGTAAAAGTTGTTATTATGTATCTCGCCATGGGTCCCAAGAAAGCCAGTGGTAAGGTTCAAGCCAAGAAAAGATGTAAGAATGACCATAGAGGAAAACAAGAGATCATTCGTAACCATGAAAATGGTACAATGATTGATGAACTAGCTAGGCAGTACAACAAATCTATGTTAACAATATGCACTGTACTTGCTAAGAAAAAGGAGATTATGAGTGTTAAAGTGGCAAAGAGGCATATCAACAATCACTAAACAAAGAACACAAACACTTGAGGATGTTGAAAAGTCGTTATTAATTTGGATACACAACAAAGAGTTAGCAGGTGATGGCATTTCAGAGGCCATCATTTGTGAGAAAGTAAAGCAACTGCACGAAAACCTTTTAAAGAAAACCCCTGGAACGAGTGATGCAGATACGAAAGAGTTTAAGGCAAGCAGGGGATGGTTGAAGACACTTAGAAAAAGAAGTGATCTTCATAGTGTTGTGAGGCATAAGGAGACTGCCAGCTCAGACAAGCCAGCGGCTGAAAGATTTATTGACGAATTTAAAGATTTGGAAGGGGACTCCCCTTCCAAACACTATCACCTCACCTCCTACCCCCCCCCCCTCCTCCTCTTCACCATCTTCCATACGCCAACAACAAGAGTCATCGGTAAAGGCAAGTAATAACCTGTACATACATTAGTACTGGAGATTTGGGTGAATTAGATATAAAATTTACTTTTGAAGTTAATTTTTTGGGACGTCTGGAACGGATTAATTCAATTTACATTTCTTATGGGAAATTCGCTTCAGTTTACAAATATTCGGCTTACGAGCCGTCTCTGGGAACACATCAAGTTCGTAAGCTGAGGTACCACTGTATATAACAAAATAGAGCATAACAACACACTTATTCATTATTATTGGTGCTGTTATGTATTACTCAGCAATGCTATCAAGGCACCAGCTGCATATCTACTTTATGGACACCTTTTACTACTATTCTTCTTTGTGCATTGGACTGGTGCTTGTATCTCTTTATTACTGCATTATCCCTCAGTTCTATTTAATAGGAGCTGTTCTCCTTATCAACAAAATGTTCTTCCATTTAAAATAATGTTTAAAATCCATTTCTGAAAATGCTGGGATGAAACTCTGATGATGCTGCAGCCAATAAGTTAAGAGATTTGTTTAACAATATTAATTTTCACATAATTCAAATATTTTTTTGCCCAGCTCCAGTTTATACCCCAATTTACAGCCCAGGCTGTAGCAGTGTAATGGTAAAGGACCTGCCCTAAATGCTATGCATGCTAGTGGCTAAATAAAAACAATGTATGTTGTCTTATTTGATACAGGTCCATGGGGTTCTGTGGCATGTAGGAAACGAATAAATTAGGATGCTCAAAGTGAGTGCAGACGACGAGTCACAAAAACATGGCTGAAGATACGATGACCAAATCACACATCACAAGATGAAGAAACAACGACGTTTTAGTCCGTCCTGGACCATTATCAAGTTATGTTGCAGAGTGATATATTAATACCCAAGAGGAAGCAATCAACAATATCAAAGTTGAAAGTGTTGAGGTTTGGCAGCAGTACAGTGAGCAATGTATTTTTGACACTGACATCTCGGCTTACAAATGCCCCTACTTACGAACTTTTCGGGTTACGAGCCCAACTTCTTCGTAAAATCCGAATCGGGTTACGAGCTTTGTCTCAGGAAACAAAGTTTGTTGATACTCGTATGGCTGACCTAGCGCGTGGTGGCACGGCAATCGCACCTCAGTAAGATAAAACAAGAAATCAGTGGCAGGATGGCTCATCAGATGCAGGTCATTTCATACCCAACATGGTTTAGCTGGAACATACCTGGAGAGGGTCTCGAGAATTCTTCTACTCCCTGAGCCAGGTCTGAGGCCAGGCTCGACTTGTGGTAAAGTTGTCCAACAGGCTGTTTATCAATGGATTTTAAAACCTACCTACCCTATCTTGAGGTTATCTAGAGATGATTTTGGGGCTTTAGTGTCCCCACGGCCCGGTCCTCGACCAGGCCTCCACCCCCAGGACAACCCGTTCTCGCAAATTTAATAAGTCAATATTGACTTATTAAATATGTGCATAGGTGACATACTTAACATAATAGTTCCCCTTGAAAAGCTTCATAGAAAACACCGACCTTACCTAACCTACTTAGTATGTTAAGATAAGCATCTTATTGCTTCGTAATTACAATTATTACCTAACCTATAATAGGTATAGGTTAAGTAATAATTGTAATTACGAAGCAATAAGATGCTTATCTTAAGATACTAACAAGGTTAGGTAAGGTCGGTGTTTTCTATGAATCTTTTTAAGGGTATCTATTATGTTTAGTATATCACCTATGCACGTAGTTAATAAGTCAATATTGACTTTACGAATTTGCGAGAACGGGTTGCCCAGGAAGCAGCCCATGACAGCTGACTAACACCCAGGTACCTATTTTACTGCTGGGTAACAAAGGCACAGGGTGAAAAACTCTGCCCATTGTTTCTCGCTGGCGCCTGGGATCGAACCCAGGACCACAGGATCACAAGTCCAGCATGCTGTCCGCTCGGCCGACCGGCTCCCGACCCTAACCTTACCTAATCCAACAAAACCCAAACCAGTACAAGACAACCCAACTTAATGATGTGATATCAGGTTGGTTGAATTATTATAACCCAAACCAAGCTCATGTAGGTACAGAGGAGTACTGTATCTTAAAATTTGAAGGGATTATGAATAAAAAAAAATCTAATCTGGACTATTTCAAGATCACGTGTGAAGGATTATTATTTATGATGAATTTGATGATGAATAAAACAAAATTAATAATTGTTGTAGGTGGGGTGGGAAAATACAACCAGGTATCCAGGTAAACACTGCTTTCGGCAGAGTTTAGTCCCGACTGATGCAGAAAACAAGCTGTGAACAGTTCAACAGTTCCAAATATTGCTGCATCCTGTTAGCCTATCAATGAAACTCCTCAGGTTTGGCAACGATTAACATAGATCACATTTAATCTTATACAGAATTAAATATTTGACCCTTTATAATGTGCCAGCTACAATCAACTTGATTATTACAGTTTATAAGGATTCTGGGAGTGTTCACCCCTACCCTGTTTATTTAAGCAATGTTGGGTCTAGCAAATTACAGGATGAGTGACCATACAGGAAGAAATTGGACTGGCTAAAGAAATCTCAAGAAGGTAAGGCCTTCGTAACGCCCTTACGTAAGAAGGTAAGGAAGGTAAGAATGAAGGTACCAGCAGAAGGCCAATTGGTCCATACTAGGCAGCTCCTATTTACATCTACCCAATCTCATTCATATACATGTATAAGCCACACTTGAAACAATTGAGGGATCCTACTTCTATTACGTTAGGCGGTAACTGGTTCTACACATGAAGGCAGGAGCCATTCAAGACGTGCCATAGTGTGCACCCAGAGTCAGAGCCTAGTACCATGATGAAGCCTCCGGGCTACCACGATGAAGCCTCCGGGCTACCATGATGAAGCCTCCGGGCTACCATGATGAAGCCTCCGGGCTACCATGATGAAGCCTCCGGGCTACCATGATGAAGCCTCCGGGCTACCATGATGAAGCCTCCGGGCTACCATGATGAAGCCTCTGGGCTACCACGATGAAGCCTCCGGGCTACCACGATGAAGCCTCCGGGCTACCACGATGAAGCCTCCGGGCTACCATGATGAAGCCTCCGGGCTACCATGATGAAGCCTCCGGGCTACCATGATGAAGCCTCCGGGCTACCATGATGAAGCCTCCGGGCCCTAGTACTGGACACTTAAGCTCCCTCCAGGACACGCTGCTCAACATTACACTTACACGGACGGAGCTCCGGGCCAGCACACCACCGTCACTGTGACGGTACAGGTGACGGGGGCTGGTGACGGTACAGGTGACGGGGGCTGGGTGACGGTACAGGTGACGGGGGCTGGTGTCTGCCACAGTTTGAACTGTGGTGTGAGCCCGACCCTCACCATTCCCGCCTAGTGGTCCCTGGCGCCCCTCACCACCCCCCACCTGGTGGTCCCTGGCGCCCCCCCCCCACCTCCAGCACCCCTCCTGCCCCTACAACCCACAACCTCACGGCACCTCAGGCCTTACACACATACAATTAAGCGGCCTTACCACTTGCAAGACCACTGGCAGGACGAGCGACACATGTACGACTGCTAAGTCAGGGTCGGGGAGCCCTGACGAGGGCCCCTGACGAGGCCCCTGGCGAGGCCCCTGGCGAGGCCCCTGGCCCTGCACCACAACCCGGCCACCCCTGCCCTCACACACAACCCCACAACCTGCCCCACAACTCACAACAAGGCTCAAGACTGGCACAGTTACTCCACCCGGCGTGAGGGGCACCGCAGGCAGCAGCAGCTCGGACCACAGACTCGCCACACAGTGTTGGATCCTCCTCCTCACCTTCCTCACGCACACAAACACCTTCACGTCACACACTTTGAACCTCTTCAAAAGGTTCACCAGAGAGGCTTGGAGGGAAGCCTGCTCGTGAGGCTGAGAACTTGTTCAAAAAGTTCACGAGAGGCTGGGAGCTTGGCTTAAATTCACTATAGGACACTGCATGTGAACGTGATTAAAACTTTCACGAATTTTGTCTGTTTAAAGGCTTAGAATAGAGTTGGAACCTGCTCATGATGGAGGTTCAGTCGTAAGAGATTAGAATCTGCTCAAGTTGTTCAAGAGAGGCAGTGACCCTGCTCAAGTGGGCTACACAACTTGTTCATAAAGTTCACGAGTTAGAACTTGTTCATAAAGTTCACGAGTTAGAACTTGTTCATGAAGTTCACGAGTTAGAACTTGCTCATGAAGTTCGCGAGTTAGAACCTGCTTATGAAATTCACGAGTTAGAACCTGCTTGTGAAATTCACGAGTTAGAACCTGCTTGTGAAGTTCACGAGTTAGAACCTGTTCATGAAGTTCACCAGTTAGAACCTGTTCATGAAATTCACGAGTTAGAACCTGTTCATGAAGTTCACGAGTTGGAACCTGTTCATGAAGTTCACGAGTTAGAATCTCATGAACTTTACGAGTTAAAACCTGTTCATAGAGTTCACATATTAGAACCTGCGCATGATGTTCACGAGTTAGAACCTGTTCGCGAGTTACAGTCTGTTCATGAAGTTCACGAGTTAAAATCCGTTCATGAAGTTCACATGTTAAAACCAGTTCAAGTATGTTTATTGAGACAAGATTGAAATACATCTCAAAGGGATAGAGTAGCTTAGGCTATTTCTACCCCCCTAACCAGTTCAAGAAGTTCACGAGTTAGAACTATTTATGAAGTTTACGAGTTTATGAATTTATAGATAATGAATTTAAAAGTTTATGAATTTAAAAGTTCACGAGTTAGAAACTGCCATAGTTAATAAGCCCGCAAGAATGAGTAATTGTATGAATACAAGCAGCTCAAGGTTCACTAGAGCTGCTGGAGACTCGAACCTACTGCTCTATATTTGCAGAGCCACATAATAATAATAATAATAATAATAATAATAATAATAATAATAATAATAATAAATAACATTGCTAACTTTATGTAAATTATTAACCAGAAGCAAGCTACTTCTACACGAATATTAAAAGCATTATTACAAAAGTTGAACATTTAAGGGAAATATTTGTGGAATTGATGTAAGGATGTCAGGGGGGGGGGTGAGGGCAGCCAGTGTATATAATAATAATATACATATTAGTATACATGTAATAATAAATTCTAATGTATACCTGTAATAAGTATACTATAATAATAGTATACATGTTCCATATATATATAATAATAATAAACATATTAATAATATATACATGTTAGGTTTATATCGAGCCCCCCCCCCCGCATGGATGTGTACCTATTTACTGCTAGGTGGACAGAGACATCAGGTGAAAGGAAACGCGCCCAACAAAATATATACAGTATTATAATTCTATTATAATATGCTATATAGTCGTAATGGCCTGTCGGAGTCTCCTGATAAGTCCCTTCCCTCTATTAGTATATATATATATATATATATATATATATATATATATATATATATATATATATATATATATATATATATATATATATATATATATATATTATAAAATGGTTGAAGATAAGCCACCCAAGATGTATTCATGCACGGGCATGAATAGCCCGTGAGATATATATCATGTTTTATATATATGTATATACAGTACATGTATATGTATAAGATGGCGGCGTGTGTGTGTGTGTGTGTGGTGGTGAGAGTGAGGGAGAGCCGTGGAGGTTGAAGCACCTACACACCCAGTACAGTCTCCACCGCCAAGATATTTGACATAATTTCCTTGATCTGGTATGTTTCACTATTCAAGGTTAAAGTTGCAAGTACAACATCTTTTCCTGTCTTGACTACCTCTTAAACATTATTTTCATATGTGTATTGATGAAAACTAAGAAAGGAAGCATATTTGCGAGAAGAAAATGATAAACACGCATTTTAAAATTATGAAAATAGTTTTTTCTAGAGTTTGTTGTTGTGGGAGCGCGGAGAGAGTTGCGAGGTGTTCCAATAATAACTTCATTTCCCAAACCTGTGCAAGTTTATCTCCTCATTTAAGAGATTCTTGCAAGTGTTTACAACTTAAAACTGGATAAAGTGTAAGTGTGATAGACGGTTCCAATGGAGCTGCAGGCTCTGCAGTATCAGATGTGGCTGGCAGTGAGGAAACACCAGGTATGTTGTTGTTGTAGAGCTAAATAAAAGTATACTTGTATAAAGTTCGCTACTCCCGTTCAGCAGGGAGTAGTGTATTGATTGTCACCGCTCGCTTCTCTCAACACTTTTCTCCTACCTGCACGCTGCCCACCTCCTCCTCTCCTCCCAGTCTACACAAACTGGTAGTAGATGAGTCAAATATGGCGTGTAGAGGGGCTAAGGCAGCGTGTTTGGTGGGTAAAGTGGAAGAGACGGAGGCGGCGGCGTGTGTCGGAGCCCACACTCGCCTCACAAACTTCACACATCATCATTCATTCTTCATTATAGTACTAATGTAGTCTTACACACGTCAGTTATAATGTCAGAGGAGTAGGTCAGAAGTGTCAGAGGTGGACCTGAGTACATGTCCAAGTTGTAAACTTTGTAAGAATACGCTTTATTTATACATTTGTTAAGGTGTAAGTTAAGCAAGTTGAGCAAGTTTGCATGATGGAATTGTGAGCGTGTGAGATGTCTTGGGTTATGTATTGATCCTTCAAGATTGGCCTTAGTTCCCGTGGTGTATAAGTGTATACATTGTATGGAAGGAGGAGGTGGCGGGCCCAGTGTATGGCCCGCCTCATACAACTCTCTACAACACATACACAATTACCTTTAAAAACCCTCTAACGAAAATTAAGTTTGTTCAACTTGTGTACTTTAACAGTCGCTTTTAATACAAGTTCTTGCTTTTGATTAAACTTAATAACACGTTCACTGCGCAAAATAAAACTGGAAAGTTTATGAAATAATAGATAAATGTATGTAAAGTTAGAATGAGTTTTTTTTTTAAGTTTTGGCCGGAGGGGCGAGTTTATTGGGCACCGCCACTCAGGCTGTGAGTGGACACACCGCCACTCAGGCTGTGAGTGGACACTCCGCCACTCAGGCTGTGAGTGGACACACCGCCACTCAGGCTGTGAGTGGACACCCCGCCACTCAGACTGTGAGTGGACATACCGCCACTCAGGCTGTGAGTGGACACACCGCCACTCAGACTGTGAGTGGACACCCCGCCACTCAGACTGTGAGTGGACACACCGCCACTCAGGCTGTGAGTGGACACCCCGCCACTCAGACTGTGAGTGGACACCCCGCCACTCAGGCTGTGAGTGGACACACCGCCACTCAGGCTGTGAGTGGACACTCCGCCACTCAGGCTGTGAGTGGACACTGCCACTCAGGCTGTGAGTGGACACACCGCCACTCAGGCTGTGAGTGGACACACCGCCACTCAGGCTGTGAGTGGACACTCCGCCACTCAGGCTGTGAGTGGACACTCCGCCACTCAGGCTGTGAGTGGACACACCGCCACTCAGGCTGTGAGTGGACACCCCGCCACTCAGACTGTGAGTGGACACCCCGCCACTCAGGCTGTGAGTGGACACACCGCCACTCAGGCTGTGAGTGGACACACCGCCACTCAGGCTGTGAGTGGACACACCGCCACTCAGGCTGTGAGTGGACACACCGCCACTCAGGCTGTGAGTGGACACACCGCCACTCAGGCTGTGAGTGGACACACCGCCACTCAGGCTGTGAGTGGACACACCGCCACTCAGGCTGTGAGTGGACACACCGCCACTCAGGCTGTGAGTGGACACTCCGCCACTCAGGCTGTGAGTGGACACTGCCACTCAGGCTGTGAGTGGACACACCGCCACTCAGGCTGTGAGTGGACACACCGCCACTCAGGCTGTGAGTGGACACTCCGCCACTCAGGCTGTGAGTGGACACACCGCCACTCAGGCTGTGAGTGGACACTCCGCCACTCAGGCTGTGAGTGGACACTCCGCCACTCAGGCTGTGAGTGGACACACCGCCACTCAGGCTGTGAGTGGACACACCGCCACTCAGGCTGTGAGTGGACACACCGCCACTCAGGCTGTGAGTGGACACTCCGCCACTCAGGCTGTGAGTGGACACACTGCCACTCAGGCTGTGAGTGGACACACCGCCACTCAGGCTGTGAGTGGACACACCGCCACTCAGGCTGTGAGTGGACACTCCGCCACTCAGGCTGTGAGTGGACACACCGCCACTCAGGCTGTGAGTGGACACACCGCCACTCAGGCTGTGAGTGGACACTCCGCCACTCAGGCTGTGAGTGGACACTCCGCCACTCAGGCTGTGAGTGGACACACCGCCACTCAGGCTGTGAGTGGACACCCCACCACTCAGGCTGTGAGTGGACACTCCGCCACTCAGGTTATGAGTGGACACCCCGCCACTCAGGCTGTGAGTGGACACCCCGCCACTCAGGCTGTGAGTGGACACCCCGCCACTCAGGCTGTGAGTGGACACACCGCCACTCAGGCTGTGAGTGGACACCCCGCCACTCAGGCTGTGAGTGTACACTCCGCCACTCAGGTTATGAGTGGACACACCGATATTAACAGGTTGGCCGAGGCCTCACCTTCATCATGATGGCACACTGGGCCAGTCTTTGTGTATTATGATGTATTAATGCTATAGTGGCGGGTCAGAGCCATTGTTGGTGTGTGCTGTGTGGTGTGAGGTGGTGAGTGTGGTGTGAGGAGTGAGTGTGGTGAGATGGTGAGTGTGGTGTGAGGTGGTGAGTGTGGTGTGAGGAGTGAGGTGGTGAGTGTGGTGTGAGGAGTGGTGTGGAGAGTGAGGAGTGAGGTGTGGGAGAGAGTGGCGGGCTCCGCTGCCACCATGGCCCACCATGCTACTGGGCCCGCTCGCTCCTACCACCACCAGTATATATAGATTTACATTAACTTAACCCTCATCTTTATTTTCATGTTCATCATTTCGGAATTAGTATATATGTAAAACCATTGGCTAGGGGACTCGTAGTCGTAAATGGTAGATTGTTACATTTTGCGTGTGATATAGGTTGTATAAGCGGGGTTATTGTGTGAGAGCGGACGGCAGGCCATTGCCGCCAATCGACATATATATTCTCATGTAAATTTATGTAAGGAACACCGTTACTGCCTCACCTTATGGCAGAGTTCACTTGTAATTAATTTACCAGAAACGTTACGAAAGAAAACCAGGCCGACAATTGTTAAGACTGTTTGGTTGTGTAATATAATGTACGTTGTGAAAATGGTAGCGGGCCAGGATTATTTTGTGACGTAGCTGCTGTAGCAGTTTTCTTACGGGAGGAACTCAACACTTGTATGTTTATGTTTAAATAAATATGTTTATTCGGGTAAGGTACATACATACAAGTGATGTTACATTAATGTATCAATATATAGATAGAGCTAGTACATACAATGCCTAAAGCCACTATTACGCAATGCGTTTCGGGCAGGATTCTCCTACTCCCCTTCTACTCTACTCTACTCTCCCCTACTACTCTACGTTTCTACTCCCCTTCTGTGACACGTCAAGTAGACTGTTCATAAATAGCTGTGCATTTATAATTGAGTTAGTTTATGCAAAATTTCAGTACATTATTTGCATAAGAGAAAGTCATAATATCATAACCCGAAGGCATTATACTGTAATTATTGATTTGATTTAGGGTCTCCGTAGTACAGTCGGGTTCGTTCTCGACTCACAATCGGGAAATGTGGGGCTCGAATCCCAGGCGGAACAGAAATGGTTGGGCGTGTTTCCTATCACCAACTGCTCCTGTTTACCTAACAGTAACTAGGTTCCCGGGAGTTAGTCATGTTGTGTGGTTGCATCCTAGGAAGGGTCAGTGGTTCGACCTTGGGGGCTACCTCGATATTAGTCTATCATGTATATACACACTGGCTGCCTGTCCCCCGACACAATAAATTATAAGTAGATTGTATGTCAATAGTCTTTTACTGCACTTCATACCCATGCCATGGGCGGCGGTGGAAAAGGTTACAGAGGCACGTACGGGTCCGTCTAATTACCACAAGCTACCACAAGCCACACAAGCTTCAGAAAGCTTCCTGGCAATACGTTAGTAATGAATAAATATGATATGTTAGGTTAGGCTGATCTGACCTAACCTAACCTAACCTAACCTAACCTAACCTAACCTATCCTAACCTAACCTAACCTAACCTAACCTAACCTAACCTAACTTAACTTAACCAAACCTAACCTAACCTAACCTAACCGACGCTTGGATCGTCGACTAGATTTGGCGTCACCAGCTTTTTATTTTCGCCTAATTTCTTTATAAAAAGATACTTTTTCAGATTAAAATTATGTTTTTTCGTGTTGTACATTCAGTACCAACATTATAATGAGTAAATATATCATATTTATTCATTACTAACGTATTGCCAGGAAGCTTTTTGAAGCTTGTGTAGCTTGTGGTAATTAGACGGACCGGCACGTACTGCAAGCCAGGCATGAGAGGGCGGATCTCATGGAAACTTATAAAATACTGAACAAATTGTAGGATATTAATGGAGACCACTTCTTTAAAAGGTCACGTGTAGCATGCAGTACATGGGGCAACACCTTCAAGCTCAACAAGCCACAATGTAGGGCAGAAATGGGAGATGCTTCTCCACCCACAGGGCTATAAACCCATGGAGCCGCCTACCTGTCGGTGCCGTAAATGTTAAGCCATTAGAAGAGTTCAAAATATAGTTAGAAAAAAAATATCAGGAAAAATTGGGGGTGGGGTTGACAAAATGGGAGGCTTTTGACAAACCGCCGGCTTCCTGCCCCCCGTGGATACCACTAGATGGTGGCTGTCAGGTGGGGTATATCAGGCAGTTGGTTCAAGTACTGGAGCACCTCGACAGGAGACATCTCCCGTCACGCAGAGTGCGGTCACACCTCCACAGATCTCCACTATCAGCTCTTGATACTGGTAATGGCTCAAAAGGGCCACCACTTACGGGCTATTCATGCCCGTGCTTCCTTTTGGGTGGCTTAATCTTCATCTGTCATCAATTTCAAGTACTGGAGCACAACAATGCCTAAGGTGAGCACTAGACGCGCACTAACCATGCACCTCACACCTACCCCGAGGGACAGTAAGACAACTGCAGTACTTGCCTAAGTCTTCT